CCTGGTGATGACAAAACCTTGTCGAAACGTTGTACATTTGCTGTTATGTTAAACTTACATTAAAGTTTTTCTTCATTACCCATTCAAGCCGTCTCCAGCCATTATTAACGTATCAATGAGTTTTTGTGCATTTGGTGTACTCGAACGTATCTTAAAAACCGACGTCCACACAATTCTGGTTCTTTGTCAAGATAAATGTAAGAAATTTGTTACAATAGAAATCGCAATGTCAGACAACATTGTGTAATCATCACCATCACTTTGAATACGTTCTATGGTGAAGAAAGTAGTTCTTAGATCAGGACGGTTCCTGGAACATCGTTTCTGGAAAGTGCGAGTAACTTTTCATTTGTGTATATATCAAAACCTAACTCAGTTCCTATTGTTATAGTTGTAAAAGTTTAAGACACAATTTTCATGACATTTTTATATTTCCTCGATAAACATTTAATATATACCTACAATAGGTCATAGTTCAGTATTAGTGCTGTAAAACTGGTCCATGCTGATGACTTGTAGTCTTGTTTTTTATGTCAGTGTTTCGAATACAAAGTCAACAATACGATATTACTAGCAAGTTGAACTGGACAGTGAACGTAGACCTAAGATTACTTTCAGCATGTGTGAATGGCTGTATTAATTCCATATCGTGTCGTTTAATCTATGTAATCCACCTGTCACCTTCGAGAGACTGGTGGAACTTGCACTTAATGAACTGCGTCTCATCTGTATGGATGACATACTAATCTTTGGTCACATGCTTCAAGCTGTAGCTGAGAGCTTGAAACATATGTGTCCAAATTTGAAACTGAATGCAGGGAAATGAGTATTCAAGAGCTCAGGAGTGGAGATTATCGATCAAATAGTAGGCAGGGACAGTGTTCATTGATCCTGCAAGGATTATATTAAGTCAAGAATTAGCCCAACTTTCTGGGTTTTGTGTCATAGGAAGCTGTGGCCAATTTGTCCAAGGTAGCTACGTCACTGTATGCTTTAACTAAGGCTTATATGTGCTTTGTGTGGACGCAGTAATGTTAAAGCACATTCCAGTTCATGAAGCATGCCTTGGTCTTATCAGGACTGTCCATTAAATTTGCACATTGACGCCGGTGATAGTGGAAACAAAACACTATAATATGTGTAGTTGTGATTGTGCTCCATGTGCTAATTATTCTTTAGTTCTAGTACTACAAGAAAAAAGAAGGAACTGCTTGTAGTTTGAGTGTTTTTAAATAACTGTCGCTACTTGTATGGTGAGGAGTGCGCCATATCAGTGGGCCATGCATTACTGAGATGGCTGATGAACATCAAACACCCGGAAATGTTTGAAAACAATACTGAGAGTACATCAATGCTTGTATCAGAAGGACAGTAATGCTAATAGATTATGTCGTCAGCCAGAAAGATCATGTCCACTTGTCGAATGTTCAGATCATTACAGTATAAAGTGGTCAAAAACATTGCAGCAATAATGACATTGGTTACAATTCTGCTTTTGGGCAGACACCACAAATGGGTAGCCAGAAACTTTGGGAGAAACAGCTCAATGATCTATGCATAGCTTATGCATTACATACCATGCAGCAAAGTGAAGCACGGCCATCTCAAACACTTAAATGTATTACTGACATAAATGAGAGCAGTACCACGTGTACCTCCCAGAAAAGAAGAAAACGTAACATGAAGGAAAACTCTAGGTTTACCAGCTCTAGATTTATCTCCAAATAAAGCTGGTTCTCTGAACAAAACTGAGAGATTTAATCAGTTGGCACTGGGTATTACTGATTGTTCATTGGAATTGTGTCAAAAGGCGGGTTGGTTTTATAGACAAAGATTAGAAGCTTTAGTCATTACTTGTAAATAAATTTCCTTAATTTCAAGTACTGGTGCAAGGTAGTAATTTGCAGTTTATTCACCTTCCTCAATGGCCCTAATGATCTGCTTTAAA